GCGACGTCGTCCGGGCCACGTTTCGCGCCAACGCGACGCTCACCGACCCTAAGGTACACGACGCATCATTCCTGTCGCACCATTGCCCACGCCTTCGCCTTGCACTAGACCATTGCGCAAAAGATCGACGAGATGATGTGGTAGCGTCCATCGCCCTGCGGCCGCGCTTGCCGTACTCATGCGTGCCATCGTCGTGTAGGGTGATTCCCGAGATCTCGCGCCAGCGCCTTCTCGCCGAGTCGTCGAGCGGTCCGCATATCCACCTCGACAAAGGTCTCACATGGACATAGTGACGTGCACGGACGACGTCGAGATTGAAGCCACGAGCCAGTTCCTTCCGACGCAGTCGGAGCCCAACCGGTTTCGCTACACGTACCGCATTCGCATCCGCAACCTTGGTAGTCGTCCGCCTCGCTCCTTGAGATGATTTCGCAGGCCATTGAGAGAGCGATTGCTTGTGTAGGCGAAGACATTGTCCGTGTGAACGGCCGCCACTGGGTCTTCAACCACAACTCGGCCAAGCGCGACGTGCTGCCGCGCAACTCGCCCGGCGTCGTCGGTCACATCCCCGTGATCGCGCCCGGTCACACCTTTGAGTACGCAAGCGGCGTCGATCTCGAGACGACGACCGGGTCGGCGTCCGGCTGCTTGCACATGACGCGCTTCATGGCGACCGACGATGGCGGCGAAGTCGAGTTCGATGCGGAAATTGCGTCCTTTCTTCTCCAACCGACCGTGTCGGACTAATAAGACACCACTAGACATTGCTGTTGCTTGATGACTCGTGCATGTTGCGCCACACAGCTCATAGCTAGAGCCATTCTACGCAGAGTCGCGTCAAGAGACTGTAGCCTGGGTCCGGCGTCTGCATAGCGGGTTCGCATCCCATGGCCACCGACCGACCCACGCATCAACCGTCGTTGTGACGCGCTTGCGAGCATGTTGGTGCTTGCTGCTTGAAGCTCAAGCCAACAAAGTGCATCACTTGCTCTCCTTCCGACGACGACGACGACTTGTACTACTGCCGACGCTACCACCCTAGCAGCCAAGCGAATCAAGATCTCGGTGCGAAGTGTTATTAGCCTCATGCGATCGTCTTCCGTCCAGAAAGCATCGACCGCGGCGCCGTCGCACGCACTCGTCGTCGTGGGCTTGGGATGGCAACGCTTCCAGTGCACGTCATGCATACGTGTCTGCACGTAAGGTCCAGCAAGCCCAACCTAATGCTGTTATCAACCAATACCACGCTTCTTCTACATGTCTGTTGGACCACGCGGCAAAGGTAAGCAAATGATCTTTAGTACCGCGCAATGATGTACAAGTTGTCAACAAGACGATGGCCGCTAGACCGCATGCAGTTCGCATCCCGCTTCCATCGGCCAGAAGGTTCTGGAATGGTAGGGTTAGGGCAGTCGTCTCAACGGAGAGTAGGGTTGCGCATGCCTCTTGCACAAGGGAAAAAGGAGTCGTACATTGTAGTACTATCTACTCGAAGGCGTAATCCATCTACTCGACGATCGCGCGGTAGACGGGCAAGAACATCTTGGACGCGACAAACTCCTCAAGAGATGCGCCACGGCGAATCTGCGGCGGGTTGGTTGCAATGCCGTCTTCAACCGCACACCGAACAACGGCGGTCGCGACCTTAAGCGACACGTCGCGGATCTTCCGGACGC